ATTGAAAAATAGAAGTTTTTGAATAGTGCTGCTGTTCTTGCCTTGAAATTTAAAGCTTACGCTGCTTATTATGAGAGATCTAACATAATGCAGGTTATTAATCAGACATTAATTACTTTTCAGAAGTGCTTATCAGGACTTTTTTTTTAATTGAGTTCTATAGAAATGTGCACAAATCATTATCTTACATGTTGAATTTTCATTAAGTGAGTATACCTGATAGACCAGCACCCAGATCATGAAATAGAACATTTCCAACCCTGTCTTCCCCCTCTATCTCCTCATTGTCGTTTACCACAATCCCAAAACTAGTCACCATCTTGACCATTCTACCATAGTAAAGTTTTGCCTGTTTGGTTTTTCCATAAATAGAATCATACAGTATGTGCTCTTTTGTGTAGCTTCTTTGATTTTGCACCCATGATATTGTTTATTCCCTCTCATTACTGGATAGCATTGTATTCTGTGAATATACTGCAGAGTATTCCAGGATGTATATACTGGAGTGTGTCCATTCTAGTGTTGCTGTACATTTGCTTTGTTTCCATTTTGGAGCTCTTTTTAATAGTGTTGTTTTTAAATTCTGTATATACATCTAATGTAATGTCTATGTTAGAACTAATATGTGTTTCTCTTGGACATATATCCTGTGATCCAGCAAATCATTCTGTTTTTGTTTTTCTTGTTCCCTTTTATAAAAGCAAGGTGGCTTGGGAGGTAAACCTTTCTAGTGTGTTACATGAGCCTTTGAGAAGTCACAAATGGGAAGAATTTTTTTATCCAAGTCTTGAACTCTCAGCTTCAGATAACAACTGCAGTTTATTGACTCTTCTGTCGCCAAGTGCTTCTTGTACATCATTTCATTTATTTCTCATAAGAAACTGATAGCTACTGTACTCCCATTTTATAGCTGAGGAAAGTGAGACTAAGAGGTATTATTTATCTGACATTACATGGTCAGTAAGTAATACAATAGAGAATCAAACACTATTATCCTGGACTCCATAATCTTACCTACTCTAGTACCTTACTTTTCTAAATTAAGTATGGACATTTAGGATGAGGGCAAGGAGGAAAGAACAGCAAAGTTCTTCCCGGCTCTTTCATTTTCTCCATCATGCTAGGATATGTCACTTTTAGCAACCCCTTTTCCTCATACTCAAAATCATTTCACAATGCCTCAGATTTTTTACCCTTGTGTGAACTTTGTCCAGAAAACATGACCAAATTAATATAGGTCACACTGATGTCTTTTTCCTCTTACAGAAAAAACGCAGTGAGATTCCTTGTTATTGGGAAAATCAGCCAATGGGATGTCAGAAACTAAACTGTGCTTTCCATCACAACAGAGGACGTTATGTTGATGGCCTTTTCCTACCTCCAAGCAAAAGTAAGTTTCGTTTTTTAATTTTAAAAGGCTAGTTGCTATATGATGAACGCCTACATGCATATATAGAGTACTGTAAATATTGCCGTCTCTGTAGTCTTGTGAGAGAGCAGTTTTATTTTCACTTCAGATGAGGAAACTGAACTTTATTAAGGTTAAATGACTTGTGCACAGTCATAAGCCAATAAAGTAGCAGTCATGATTAAAACTTTGTTGACAAAAGCTGTGCTGCTTCACAAATGTTTCTTGGCATGGTAGTTTAGGTTACTTTAGCTTACCTCATTTCCCATTGTCTTATCATGCTTACAGAGATTTTCAAAAGAAACTTGATTCTTCAGGCCAGGGGTTGGCAATCCTGGTCTTTCACCTGTATTACAAAGTAAAATTTTATTGAAATGAAGCCCTGCCCGTTTGTTTACATATTTTCTATGGCCAAATTTTGTGCTACTGCTGCAGAGTTGAGTAGTTGAGACACACATCTACAATGCTTAAAATATTTACTGTATACTTCTTTATATTAAAAAATTTGCTTATCCTGCTCTCGGGTATAATCTAAAATAAAACTTACACTCTGTCAAAAGCTAGTATTTATTTCCTTTTAAAGTAATTTCCTAGTGGAGTGATCAGCCATTTAAAAGCCACATCTGCTGTGTGATTAAATCTGATAGCTGTATATTTTTATCTTCTTTAAGGGGAAAAAAGTCTCACTCCTTTCTGATTTGATTCAAAAGTATTACCCACTGTCTCTTTAAAAAGCTGCTTCTTGATCCTACAGCCTAGAATTTCAGTGTTAAAATTTAATGTCTAGAATGTGTAATTACTATGCATCTAGCTTTTATTCGCCTGAGTACCCACTTTGTGTTTACATGGAGTGAATAGTTTTTAGCTCGAAGCCACATTTTCCTTCCTGGAAGTTTAGAACCTAATTGGGGAAATTAAAAATTAAATTAAAAATTTAATTAAAAGACATACATTAAAAAAGATAGTGTTCAAATCACCAAGCTTATTATAGATAGTTGGAGATTTTTTGATGAATTGGGACTTTTTTTTTTATTTACAACTAATTTTTTATGTCTAGCTGTGTTGCCCACTGTGCCTGAGTCACCAGAAGAGGAAGTGAAAGCTAGCCAGCTCACAGTTCAGCAGAGCAAATTATCTGTTCAGTCTAATCCCTCTCCTCAGCTGCGAAGTGTTATGAAAGTAGAAAGTTCAGAAAACGTCCCCAGCCCTACACACCCACCAGTGGTGATCAATGCTGCAGACGATGACGAAGACGATGACGGTGAGCTTTAGCTCTTTCTTTAGGACACGTAAATGACCAGGGTAACTTAGTGAGTTAGCATCAGATTTGAAACTCTACATCTGTTTTTTAATTGGAAATTTGCCTTAAATGTTGACAATATAGATCAGTTTTCTGAGGAAGGTGATGAAACCAAAACACCTACCCTGCAACCAACTCTCGAAGTTCATAATGGATTACGAATGACTTCTACCCGGAAACCTGGGGTCAATTTAAAACAAGGTAAGAAGGGGCTATTTTGAAGCTAGTTTCTGCTCATAAATCTTACAGCACTATTGAATAGGTCCAGACTATTTTAAATACCTTTGAAATTTAGTTCATGATTACCAGCACCTCCCTCTTCCTTGTGTCCATTAC